CAGGTCATGAACTCTACGCAACTGCAACATAAAGAAAAGACTTGAACAGACGGCTTGTCATTGGACTAAAAAACGGGTACAGCACACAGACGTCTGCGCCATGGAGGAACAGCACAGTATTCGGAAGTAGTAAAACAACGCTCTGGGAGTTGTAAATGTATTGCTCCCTAGCAACCATGGAAACAACCAAACACGGGCCAGACCCTCTGGACAGCCCAAAGATTTGAGGGCAGATGTGATCACTACCTCCGCAAGATCTACAATGGGCGCTTTCTATTACACACTTGTTGGCCCAGGTTTTAAATAAGACGAATGAACAGAATGAACGGATTGCGGCCATGTAAACGAACGACTACACGCAAAAATCGTAAAAAGGGATCACGTGGGATCCCGTGCACCTTTACGCGCATGTGGACCTAGCATTGCGTTTACATGTACGACGAGTGCGTCAATTCCGGGCTTAGAATTAGCAATTCCGCCCTCTCTTCACGTAAATGGATTCCGTCGATTCTGACAACGGAATTTGTGTAATCGAACGGTGCATCCACGTAACTATTAAAATTGACCAAAATGTGTGGAATCGAACGTGCCCAATGACATTGTACAATGTACATTAACACATGTACATTGTACAATGTAGGCCTTGACGGATTATGCTAGCATAATTTTTCGCATAATTCCTACCAAAATCGAACAATCGCAAAATTCGAGGCAAATTGCATAATAATCGCATAATCACCCTGTTCGCATCAAATTCCATACAGTTGTACATGTTGTACAAGTACATTGTACAAGTAGATGCACCAGGAAGTCGTAGGTTGATGACTCCCGTGATAACATGTCCATTCCACTGCAATCAGTGACGTTCGTAGCTAGGTCGGACGGTGCGTTGACCCCATTGAACTTTTGCTACTACAGAATAACGCCCTCTACAAAACAATTCCTTTTGTTATTTTGCACAGAACATGTACATTAGAATAGAAGCATAATTATGTGAGCATAATGCGGCATAATATGTAACTTTTAGCATAAAAATAGCATAATTCTGCAATTTTTTCAGCAATGCGAAAAGCATAATTTCACGAAAATATTAGCATAATCCGTCAAGGCCTAGTACAATGTAGAAAATCGGAGAGCAGAAACTTTTGTCAGTCCAGCAAAGCCCTTGGTGGATTATCCCGCCAGGAATACTAGCAGAATTTGATACATTTTCTGCTATGTTTCATGCAAGCTCGGTATGTACATGATTGTATGTACATGTACATGTACATGTACATGTACATGTACATGTACATGTACAAATAATAGGAAGTGCGTGTCATAGGGTTTGTATGGTTCTGCCAATTTCACTGCTTTTCGAGCAACCTGCCAAAACGAGCATTATCCGTCATGGGCCACTACAGCAACCAATGGTAACGGCTGAAATAATGGCAGATGGATATCGGAACATCGCACTTTTGCTTTTAGAATAATACATTGCATGTGGTCATGTCCTTCACGCTTCTTTTCCGTAGGATCGGGAATGACAACTGCAGACCTTCTCCAGGTGTACATGTACATGTACATGTACATTGTACATGTACATGTGTGCACGTTTCGCAAACCTAGCAGCAGGGAGCAGGTGGGACACAGCCGCAAGCTTACTTGGCCGCTAACACGTTTGTGCAGAATTACTAGTAAACCAGCAAGTGGCGCACATGAACGACATTCCTCGGTAGCCCTTGGCAGATAATGGCGGCAGAAACATTGGCATAATTTGGTAATTGTTCTGGTATGTTGCATGCATGATCGGTATATGGATAAAGAAATGGAGCAGAATTCGAGGAATTGCCCGCCATAAGGTTTGTATGGTTCTGCCAATTCAACTGCATTTCGAGCAAAATCTCCTCATGTTTCGAGCATTATCCGCATAGGGCTACTCCCGGGTGAAAGAAGAAGAGCGATTCAAATCATGCAAGATATACAATGTACATGCATATGCCGATTTCTCTTCATTCATTCATGTACAGTCGAATGTCACTTATCCGACCACTTCGGGAATCAGGCATGTTGGATAACTGGATATGTTGGATAACTGATATCATTTTTATGTGCATATACATGTATGGCTGGATTTCACTGATTTACATGTATGTACACAATACCCAAATACATTGTATATTCATGCATATTCATGAATTGCTCCATGTACACATACAATGTACATGTTAGCATACTTGACCACATCTACTTCAAGTAAATGCATATTACACCGTATAATATAAAAATAAAAGAATTTTTTAAAGAATTTTACTGTTGAGAGTCATAAAATTACCACTCCCGGGCTTGTCGGATAACCGATGTGCTCGGATAACTGGCGACCGGATAAGTGACATTCGACTGTACTACATTGTAATTAGGGAGTGGATCGTATACAGGATTGTGTATTTTCAAGCTTGCATCTGAACTGCTGCCTGGTGACTCCGGTTGAGTGAGTTTCTCTTCTTCGTTATCACTAATTTTCTCATTTCCATTCACTTATGTACATGTACATGACATGATAATAATAATATTATGATATACATGTACATAACTGTACACGGGTTGGGTTTTTTTAGAACCCCCACACGAACATCAATACAAGAGCCTAGAGGTCTATTTGTTGCTCAAGTAATTCCTATCTCAATCAAATTTCAGCCAGGAGCCATCATCAGGATTGGGGGAAACTGGTGAGGTGGGCTTGTATCATACATCAAAACCATAAAGTGGAATAAATTGTATCATCAGTCGTCATTGAAAGGTACATTGTACATGTACATGTACATGTACATGTATATCTAAAAAAGAAGAACACATGGGAACGAGTTATGCAGCAACTACACAAGACGGTAACAAGATAATATTATGCCGTCAGAAAGTGCGATAACAGAGCACAAAACTGCCAGACTACTGAGACATTCAACGACCTGAGACTTACAGCAGCTCAAACACATCTTCAGTGCGCAATCTAGCAGCCTTCAAAGTTGTAAGGTTCACTGTTAGGTAGGGGCCGAAGAGGGGAAGGGGAGAGCAGCGAAAAAGTGCGCAGCAGAAGTCAGCTAATGAATAGAAGAAGTGATGTTTTCTCTTTTCTGTGTTGATCTCTAGCATGCATGGGCACCAGACATAATGCTATTGGTTTGGGATACTAATGTATTACGACAGACTGCCACACCTTACATGTACAATCATGTAAATGTGCGCATAAACAATGAATTGATATGAAGGGCAGGGAATATTTGAGTTGCACCGGCCTGCTTACACAAATTGGGTTATCATGAAGCCGGAGGAAGCGCCCAAACAATGATCATCTTTACGACATGTATTTTGTACAGTATTTCTTTTTTCCAGGCGAACCATGCATGACCTAAATCAATTGACCTTGCCATTGTTTTTCAGGTGGGGCTGATCATCAATATTGTTTAAAACTGGCCTTAACCTCATCATCCCTCTCAAGACGCAGTCAATATTTTGGCACTGAGTTTTCATGTAGTTCGTGGATGACGTCACTGAAAGTTTCAAGGCCTGGGCGGAATGAACTATAACCAGTGAACCTTGTTCCTCCCTTGTCCCGCCGGCCAGGAGTGCATGCAATTGTGGAAAGAGGCAATTGGAACTGCAATCATCACTGGAATAGTACTGTAGGGGAGGGGCGTGTGTACGGACGTTGGGTGAAAGTCCGATTCACCTCTGGACGAGACGTACTGAAGTGTGAATGAAACGGACCTCTTCAGTGGAACAACAGCATAAGCAACCTGGGGTATAATATAATTTTACATGACATTATGCATGTACATGTACTGTACGTCCCTTGGAAGTGCAGGTACATTGTACATGTACATGTACATGTGCGTTATACTGCTGTTTCGCTGCACTGGGCTCTACTTGAATGTTGTCTCTATTCGCCTGCCAAGTGAAGAATGCAAATCCTGAGGGTAGAGAGAGGGCGTTAGCACGTCTCGGTGGAAAAAGAAAAACAGAGGGAAGAGAAATCCAAAGGTCAAGCGCACAATGTACAGGGATGTGCAAAGTACTTTGCTAGAACTGACACTGCAGCCCTTCTTCGCAGACGCTTCTCTCCTCTAATCCTGGTCACTTGCCACTGGTACAATGTATCATCATTGTTGTCTGGGGATTGGCGGATGGCCATCCGAGTTACAGCCTAGTCTCATCCGCTGCATCCACGTTTCCCTCGTACCAGGCCGCAAATAATTCCCAATTCCAACTGTGGGCCATTGCATAGCTGGAAAAAGTCCTTTGCTGCCAGGCAGAACTTGAACCTGGTACCGTTTGTTACTCGAGCATGAAGATTAGGACATTAGGACATCACGTGAGAATCAGCCAGACTGAGTTTTCCGAAGTCGCAGGACCACCACCACCGACTAAGGGTTCAGTAAACGTGGATGTCCAGAGTTTCGGGCTTGCGCTATCATCTGGCACTCCACCAGTTTGCCATGTGAAACTATGTTTAGATACGCAACTCACTCCGTAGTGGACAGAGTGGAGCCCATAATGACTGTCCGAGCCAATGGCAATGATGTCTATGTAATGTATGCAAGCTGTGACACGGCATTGCTTGCAGAAATGGCAAACCCTCAGAGCCAACAACGGAATCAGGTTGAACTGGAAGACAAGCTCTGCCTATGGCACGAAAGGAACAGAGCCGTGTGAAGGCCTTTGTGCAACATTTCAAGTAGGTTCCTTTGTTGTTGATCTAGTACTGATATGAAAGGCACGGCCGCCGGTTTGTCCTGCCATTTTGGATACAATTGCTGAAGTCCAAATTTCAGCATCATCATCATCATCATCATCATCATCATCATCATCATCTGCGTTGCCGAAAAGTATTAGTAGTAAAATTTAAAAAATAATAAAAATAAACGGCATTATGCAGGTGTGTAAGCATACACAACAAAAATACAATTCTATCCATGTAGGCCGAACATGACAGTAGGCATGCACATGTATTTGTAGCTACTGATTTAACCTAAATGTACACAAAGGCAGAAGAGAACAGAGACAGCCAGCTAGGTCATCGTTGTAACGCTGCGTTTCATGCACATAGCAAAGCTAAGGCAATCCTCAAGTTGTCCGAGGATTGCCTTAGCTTTGCTATGTGCATGAAACGCAGCGTTACAACAATGACCTAGCCGGCTGCCTCTGTTCTCTTCTGCCTTTGTGGTAATGCTCCATCCTTGTGGTGCTTAGCACTCTAGGCAAACTGGGAACTCTCGCTATTATAACCTACATGTATATGTGTGTTGCTAAACCCTAGCAAAAGTGCTCGATGCAACGAGGGCAGAGCCAAAACAACAAGTCAGCAATGCAACTATTTAAAGCTGCAGTAACTCGGAGTTTCATGTAGGCCTATCCGCCGATCCTCTGATAGCCATGAGCCTCCAAGTTACATGTATTTACATTACCAGCTGGACAATTTCAAACCAGCCCTTTCCCCCAGAGCCCTTCGCGGATAATGCCGACAGAACAATTGGCGGGATGTACAGTCAACTTCGCTTATAACGACACTCGGCGGCGCATCAGAAAAGTGTCCTTATTCGCGAAGTGTCGTTATACCCGAAGTCTCATTATATGTGTCACAGTTGGATGGGACTTTGCTCTGGGCATGAAAATTATGTCGTTATTCGCGAATTGTCGTTATATCCGCAGTCGTTATTAGCGAAGTTGACTGTAGTACTTTTGTTCTGGTATGCTTCACGCATGTTTGCACATGTACATGTACATGTACATGTACATGTACCTGTACAATCATGTACTCTTCGCCCTCATTTTCTCTGTGCTGCGCTGATGAGTCCACAAAGGACGAAACAGTTCTGTCCGCAGATTGAGTATTTCGTTCCTGCTCTTGTCGTAGCTGAGCACTCTCATGTGGGGTACTAGTAATGCCTTTGCTGTTTGCGCTATGCACAGCTCACTGACTTGTCAGTTTGAGCACTCTTGCAAGGTACGTTCGGGCCTGGTATCTGGCTTTGGAAACTTTATATTTCATTGCTATCAGGTTCGGCCTCATTTCTCTGTGCTTCGCTGATGAGTCCACAAAAGGACGATACAGTTCTGTCCGCAGATTGAGTACATATTATGTATCCGAATGAAGAAATGGAGCGGAATTCAAGGAAGGGCCTGTCTTACGGTTTGTAGAGTCCTGCCACGTTCACTGCTTTTTAGGCAGAATATGCCAATTTAGTGAGCATTATCTGCCAGGGACTACTCCCCAAGGCCTTAAGGGCTCAAACTCTTCTCGGACCGTACACTCGTGCATTTCTCGCAGTAGGTGTCCCAGAAATTAGAATGCAGTGTTGATATGGGCAGGATGGAAAGACAAGTAGCAATACAAGTGCGACATTGAAGAATGACGTTAGAGTTCACCAGCGAGTAGATTGTGTCAGTTCACCGGACGTGGGACGGCATAGTAGCGTCACTGGCACCTGCAAGATGCCTTTTGGGAGGCACTGGTCACTTGCACGGGTTCAAGCGCCTACACCCGCCTTTGTTTCGCGAGGGGAGAGATTCCTGCGGGACGAATTGAGCAAATTAGTGAACAATCTCCGAGATGCGTAGTGGCGTTAATAATTGACACGCACAATATGGGTGACACCGTTGTAATCCGATCATCGTCTAAATCGGAAAGTCGAGTTCTGTGGTTGTACACAATGCTGAACCAATAGCGGGTTGTGATTCTACTACTGACTAGACTCCTCGGTAGTGTCAGGGGCTTGTGAGGGGTGATTTATTGGAAGTTCGAGGGGATGTCCACTTACTTATCTTTATCATGACATTGTTTCAATGGATGGTTTTAATAATATTTCCTGAACTCCCGGCTAAGTACCGGTAGCTATGCGAAGGTGAGGCCGGGTCCGGACAATATCACAGTGGCGGGAATCACACTGCGCACCAAATTCCTACTGCATGTCATGCCCGTCCGCAACGTGATGTGAAGCCATATCGCCAGACCACGACTTGAGTGGCCTTTGCCGTGCACTATCAGACGCGTCAAGTGTTGGTCTACATCAAATCAGCTATCCAAAGCGATCTTGAACCTTCAGTGTACAGTGTATGTCACAAACATTCTCTCTTCACTGCAGGGACCCCAGCTGAGATCACTCACAGCTACTTGGAGGAGGGCAAGATTTTATTTGCCCCGCCAGAGCGTGTCACTTAGCAAGAGCTGTGAGTGCCTTGCGTACCCTGAATACACATTGCTCGCATAGGAAGTTCATTCCAGAAACCATATCGACAACTGGCCTTTTCTCCAAGTGAAGCCATCTGCCCCGTTCAATCAGGACGTGACAGAAGACCCATCTGCGTTGATGTCGTCCGTAGATCTACGTCTAGCGTGCATCCAGTTTTCGACTCAAAGCTCCAGGAAAGTACACTGTACTTTGTACATGCACAATGTCATGTAAGCACTCAATCTGTGGACAGAACTGCGTCGTCCTTTGTGGACTCATCTATCAGTGTCAGCACAGCGCAGAGAAAATGAGGCCGAACCCTGATAGCAATGACAAATAAATTTTCCAAATCCAGATTTAATTAATTAAACCAGGCCCGAACGACGTTACGTACCTTGCCAGAGTGCTCAAACTGACAAGTCAGTATTAAAGCTCTGCATATGTGTCAGTATTTTTTTTACTTCAAGTAATTATTTTGACAACGTTTTCCCTCCTAGTTCAACAACATGTATTATTATTATTATTATTACTTGCATGTACGCGTTGGAGTCAACCATGCAAGCATGATCCACAACTTCGCTTATGCTGAACATGATAAACAGGACTATGACAGGGGAAAGAAATTGAGCTAGAACGATGATACAATGATATAATTATCATATACAATGTAGCTCATGGGTATTGAAGATATGTCATTTATGAATATGTCTTTAATTATGTCATTGAATATTGCAGCCTGAGTGATAATAATAGTGCTATTTCCTGAGTTTGACTGTTTCAGGACCTGTCGGAATATCACGATGCACAGATCTTCATGCATAGATCTCGCCATGCGGGTCGGTCATGGGCAATGGCTCGCAGGCTCTGCAGAGCGTCTAAGTTCCCGAGCAATCCGGCATTGGCTTGGCGCAGATCTCCCACCAATGCCTGCGGCAGGGTCGTCCGCGGTCTACCCCTCCAGCATTTCTGTTGCTGATTGGCGAAGTACGCGAACATAGCCATAACAGCTGGAGATTCATCTGCCATCCGCAGGATGTGGCCAAACAGCCTCCAGCGTGATCTCTTGACCATGACACTCAAGGGTTCAGCTTCGCATCTGGCATAGAGAGCATCATTCGGTATTATTTGTGGCCATTTCACACCGATGAGTGACCTTAGCTGACGGCGGTGGAAGGAATCCAGGCGAGACAGAACGGTCACACTGACCCCCCACGTACCCGAGTTGTACGTCAGTACTGGAACAATAAAAGTGCTGTACAGCCGCAGACGCAACTTCTCGCTGATGTGCTGATGCCTCTTCCAGAGGCTCCATAGGGACTGAAATGCTGCAGTCGCCAGCTGTTTTCGTCGCATAATATCCTCTTCGTCGCCCAGCAGCGAACCCAGCTTGCGCGTTGTCCTCCACTCTTCATCGATCCTGTCCGCACTTCTGAAGATGTCCGTATACTCAGTTTTGTCCCGGTTCATGATCAGGGACCACTGTGGTAGCACCGTGCTGGCAGTCGCCTCCACGTCCGCCAGCCAGGACTTTGAGGTGCTGACAAAGTCTGCATCATCCGCATATACAAGTTCGAGCGGCAGACCGTTGTCGCTGAGAGGTCTTGCTGGCACCTCTTGCCTTAGTTGTCGGAGCGCAGCCTCCAGGTAAACCGTGAAGAGAACGGGGGAAAGGCAATCCCCCTGTGGCGTCCCCTTCGTTGTAGCAAATGATTCCGACTGGCACCTCCCAAGCTGAACACGAAGTCTGGTGTTAGAGATCAAGACCCTGATCAAGCGAACGTCATCGTCACTCAGAAACGCCTCCAGAACAGTCAGCAAGGTGTCTCGCTTGATCGTGTCAAAAGCCCTCGACAGATCAATGCCCAACAGGTGAACGGTGCTGTGGTAGCGCTGGGTCTTTGCCACAAGCCATCGATGCGCCCATACCACATCCGCGGTGGATCGGCCAGGGCGGAAGCCGCTGTGCGTCTGGGCTAGGTACTGGTCAACCTTGGGTCTGACTCGAGCACATTGTATGCACATTGTAATATTATAACCCAATACTAGCTACCCAATACTAGCTCAAAACTAGTATTAAATAAACCTTGTTATAGTTCACACATTGTTAGATTGACAGCATGCAACAAGGTGGAGGACACTGTGTTCGGAAACTGTGACCTTACTACAACCACCCACGGTTGGAACCGGGTTCAACACCCATATTATGGTTCAAATGGTCCTAATGGACCGGGCTCTGCCAACCGCGGAAGGTTGCAGTAAGGTCACTGTTTCCGAACACAGCGTCCTCCACATTGTTTCATGCTGTCAATCTAACAATATGTACATGGATCTGTACAGTGCTGCTAAACGAAATCCTATCGAGCGCGTCAGCTGTAATCACATCCTAGTGCTCGCAAATCTTGGGGTGCACAGCCTGGGTCTGGTGCATAACTTTACTTGACTCACGCGATCGTATTTCATTGCGCAGCACTGTACTTGCAGATTGGGATCCAGCCCCCCCCCCCCCCCGCCTTGCCGCCCTCATGAAGTATGGCTTGGGTCTGGAGGAATCTGCGGAACCAAATCTCAGCACACCTGGATATCTGCATATTCCCCTTTCCATCCCAAACAAAAAATGGAGAGAAAAAATTCACGGTTCGCGAGAAGCTCGGCTGCAAGCCGAGTTTTCCGCATCCGCAGGGTCGTCAATCAAGGCGCAGATGCAGCTCCTGACCTTAAGCGGTGGGAGGTGAGTAGATCATACCCACCACAAAGTGGTTAAAGGCCGAAAATCCCATTCACTGCATACATCCATGTGTCCCTCCTGCCAAGCCACGAGTTCTCAATTTAACTGTGGGCCGCAGCACGGATTGAAAACATCCTTCCACTTCCGAGCTGGACTTGAACCCGGTACCCTCTGTTTCTCAACCATGGTCTTAGACCATCCCATTGTTCCTGTCAAATAAAGAGGTCGCAAAATAGTGGTGGAGATTTCCTCGATAATACTACAGGTTATGTTGTCTGATGCATGGATGCAGCTGACGAGGTTTGTGAGACTTTTAATAACACAAATCTCACCCTCGCCGCGCTAGGCGCTGCATCTGCCACCTTGGTATGCCAGGCATGGTGGTGGTGGCCTGACACAAGCGAACCTTCTTCTAAAGCTGGTTGTGTTCTTCAACACAATCGTATAGACAGTGGTAACGCGAACGTATGAACTTTTTCTTTTCCTTTTTGCCTGACGAAGATACAAAGTACAAGTTGCGTGTTGTGAAATCTCAACATGCAAACAGGTCTGACAGCTGTGCTCGAAAGCTCAATCCATGATTCATATTGGCATGAAGAGGACGACTTCAGAAGAAGTGGCATCCTTTGGGGCTGTGACGTGAGAATTTTATGAGGGGCGGATAATGGCGATATACAGTCATGTACATGGAAAACGTGCACTGTCCGTCCCAAGGGGACTTTCCCTTACTCAAGACATCACTACTTGATACTGAGAACTGTGTGTGACCAGTGGCAGTGGCCGCTGAGTATCGGTACTACAGTATTCGCTATTCAGCACTGTGTGAGCATTGGAAGTATTGATATTGAGCACTGTGTGAGCATTGGAAGTGTGGATATTCAGCACTGTGTGAGCATTGGAAGTGCGGATATTCAGCACTGTGTGAGAATTGGTGTGAACAGTGGACGTCTGCGTTACCCGCTACTGACAGTACTGTGTACCACCAGGGCGATTATTTTCTCCGAGATATCCTATATCGGCGACAAAGTGTCTACATGTAACAGATGTATCACAAGTCTTCATAGAATCATAGCTTGTTTGTGTTCACACATTGGACGGGAACTGCCATAGCGGACGAGGCTATTCCGAGCAGTCCACTGGTCAGTAAGAGACCCGGGCAACGCTCCATATTCTGGTATCCACTGACTATGCGACATACAGTGTAGTCCTGGAGCGCCATGGCTAGGTCACTGGCGTTTACAAAGCGAGTAAGGAACCGGTAGGATAAAAATGAGTGTTGCACTGTTTGTTTGTTCGTTTTTAGATTCTCAGCGGCAAAGCACCGAAGCCGGGGCAAGCGTTTCCTGGAAGCATCTAACTTACAAGTACGTTGCACTTCTCTGTGTGTTTAAATTTACTGTCGTCCCTGGCCCCTCTATCATGCAGCCCGGATCTGTATACACGTACATGTGCATGTATGCAACAGGCACAAAGGAAGTTCACAGAGTATGTCGCAACTCTCCATATCTTGCAAAACGCAATCACCATGCAGTTCATTAGGACTTCGCCAGTATGCAGTATAGTTTGGTGATACAGTCGTACGGTGAAACCTGTCTAAGACGACCGTTCAAGGGACCTTCCAAATGTGGTCTCTGGTACCAGGTGGTCTCCTTGTCCAGGGTCATTTGACTGGAAATAGCATCCCTTGTTCCTGGTTTCAGTGGTCCTCGGGAACAGGTGGTCGCGTTATCCGAGTGGTCGCCTTGACAGGTTTTACTGTAGTTGATGGATTCAGCGCAGACGATTTGCCATGATGGTCATGTGGATGGTCACGTGGATAATGGGAGCTACATGTATACATGTAATCGCGGAAAATGTCGGTTGTGACCGAACAATAATATTCAGGTGGAAGGAGGGAATGGAAAAATGTGTAGCCATGGCATTGTATTGGCCGGTGTTCTCACTGTGCCATGAGATGCTGTAATAAATAAATAAATAAATAAATAAATAGATATAATTCATCCCCCAGACCCGCTATTGGTGATGTTGAGTGATCACGCTGTGCATCCGCGATGTTAACGCACTGTCAGCGCACTGGGTGCATCCTAAGGTGATCTTCACGCCAATACTAGGTGAAGTAATTCAACTCCTTGCGAATCATACTACCCTGTGGAGTACTGCTGTTGAGTATTGTGTGACCGCAAGCCTGTGATCGGCTTTGCAAAATGCGGATTGCCTCAGCTAGATCTACATGATACTAGTAGGAGACCAAGCTGGTGAGACTGCTATGACTCTATGACTTATGAGAGATTGTTTTGAAGATCCTACGTGGGAATCAACCTGCTACTGATCGCGTCGACCACGCAAGATAAGCCAATTGACATCTAACCGTAACAGAGAGAGTATCAAATTGCTGGCAGATACATGTACTTTGCCCTGCGACACATGTAACTATTACCGTAGTTCCGCGCATATACATGTAAGCCCATGGGCTAATATACGAAATAATGCATTTTCCGGGAAAAAAATCAGTAATAATGGTTCGTTTTTTAGCCCTGGGCCTATATTCGAATTCTGAAGGCAGCTGGCACGCGAAAAAGTACAAGTCCGTGCGCGGTTGTCCACCCACTGTATACATGTAGGTACTGGTACTGGTAATGTAGTCTGCACTGACGTGCTGTGCTACGGTGTTTGGGTCTGTTTATTAGCCCATGGGCCTATAAACGGAGGTGGGCTTATATCCGGATATAGGCCCATGGGCTTACATGTATATGCACGGAACTATGGTACTACCCCTGTTCTATTATTATGCTCATAGGGAATGGAAAAAGGAAAAGTCTGAAAAATCTAATTATTGACAGTCACCACCGGGAATCAAACCAGGGACCTTAGCTTGAGGCCAGCGATGCTCTGACCACTGAACTATGGTGTAGCTGTCATCCCAGCAAGAGTTCATAATTATACCGTCCTATTTTCAGAGTGGCATTGTGCTTTAGGGAGTCTTCACCGTTTGAATGGCGCATAGTCCCATGATCGACGGGACCGACGGTTCTGCCTGTTGCTACTGCCGTGCATGACCTGTCGAGAATGTAGTGTAGGATGCGATTGCAGTTGAGTGAAAACCATCCTCCGAACTCCTATCAGCAAAATAGTGCGGTGTGGTGCTTTTTAACCACCAAGACTGCATTGAACGTGCTCATGCACATGTTAACTGTTCCATCCGGACGAAAACAACAAGTCTAAGCCACGGACAGGGCGCAAGAATCCCGAGGCAGAAAAGTAGGCTACCAAACACGTGTCGTGGTATCTTGAACGTTCACTCACGTATTGCAGATGTCATGCAGGGAGAATGAGTCCAGCGATACCAGAAACGTGGTTGTCACACTCTTGACATGCTCGCCAGGTTGTGACAGACACCTCCAACCGATATAGCTTGTTGACGCAGATTTTCTGTCCACCTCGGCATGCACCAAGGAATGAATGAGTCCATGCTACTGGATACTGGATACTGTACTAGATCCAGAACGACGGATCACCTCATGATAATGAGGAGGATGGGATTAACTCTTTGTGTGGAAGCACAATCCCAGAGGACAACGTTGACACATCGCTCACCAGCAGTATGGCGCCTGCTCACGATCACCCGACGTGTACGCTGTATTTAGATTTATCAAGATACCGCACACCAACCTACTGCCAGATACAATGTAGCAAGAATGTGAGTACGGAACTAGGAGCGCACCTGGAAGATTCCTCTGCACTGAACTTCAGATCACCCACTACATATACATTATACATATTATACATTTACATGTAGCTCGGGTATACACGAGGTCCTTGCGGATGATACTCAAGAAATTGGCAACTTGATGATTTCGATCGAGAAACAGTGCAATTGGTAGAACCGTGCAAAGGGTCATCATGTACATGTATAAGAGGGAAGAAAAATATTAGAAGTTGTGGCTATCGGTCCACCAATTTTACCTGATAATAATTCCCCGTATAATTATAGTCAAATAGTGCGACAACAAGGTACAAACTTGACAGGGATACTGAGACATTCTACGACCTTACGCTCACGTGTACATAAATTTTGTACAGTCATTGCAGTACGAACAAATACTGCGAAGTGAAATTAGTCAGAACTGGAATTTATGATGGCCTTCCTCTTCTAGACTTCTTTATCAATGTCCAAAAACATGATCCCAAAAATACCCAATGCTGATCCGAAAAATATGTATTTTCATGGTTCGCGTCAGACTCCGCTGGAGGCCGTGTCTCCTTGATTCCCCACTTCCCTGATTCCCCACTTCCGAGAAGTGCATGGTCAGTTTCCATGGGGCAGCACTATACCCTCCATAATAACTACAGTGATTATTAGTGTCCAGTACTCTGCTGTACAATGTACGCTCGCGGCGGCTATTCCTTTTAACCCGCACATGCATGTTACACAGGACATACATGTACGAGTCGTACATGTACAGTGTACAGTGAAACCTGTCTAAGACGACCGCTCGAGGGACCTTCAAAACGTGGTCTTTGTTACCAGGTGGTCTCCTTATCCAGGGTCGTTTTGAATGGAAATAGAATCCCTTGATTGTGGTGTCAGTGGTATTGTAGGACAGGTGGTCGCCTTGTCCGAGTGGTCGTCTTGACAGGTTTTACTGTACTTACTCCGGACTCGGAATGTGTCCCTGACTGTTGTGTGAAATGCAGTGTAACAGTACTTAGGCGGGGGAGGGGGAGGGAGGGGTAGGGGGGGGGGGGGCTGAGCCCCTGCCCCTATAGATCACATCTGCCCGGAGATGAGAGGTTAGGTGACATGAGAACGACCTATGGGTGCACTGTGCAACTTTTAACTTATAAAATCATTGGCGTTCCATCATGTCAGATTTGCATTCGTACAATCACTATGCCCTAAGCTGGACAAAAAGGAGTTACTAGTGTATTGGAGCCTTTGATAGGCGAAACAGCTGTCAGAAGGAAATGTTTTACCCGTGACCCCTTCGTTGTTTGAAGTTATTGGTGTGAGTAATGGCTACCGAGGGTAGCAATGGTCGGCTTTTTAGATCGCATGGAGGGGGAGAGTTAGTTTCTTGCATTGGTGGCTATTACAGGTAAAATGAGGACAGTGCTTTGCAACATTCAAAGCGCTTCTGAAAAGAAGACTGGTAGGTACATGTACATGACTGTACTTGTACAGACATGACATTGTACAGTCTGCTCGGAGAAGATTCGATAGAAATTGCTGCTGTCTTATGATCACTAAAAATTGCGTGAACCTTCAAGTAACAGCTACACCGCCTTTCGCCTCTGTTGTGTGTGTGTGTGTGTGTGTGTGTGTGTGTGTGTGTGTGTGTGTGTGTGTGTGTGTGTGTGTGTGTGTGTGTGTATACTGCTCTGCACATTTGTGCATTGAGCACTCTACCTCCCCAACCTGCCTTGTTTGTACCTGGACAGTCATGTATATGTACCTTTACTCACATAAACTTGTGTTACTTACCATGGTCTCTTCACACATCTACTCGGGTGTGTCCTGAAATCAGCGATACACGACTCGTGCTAGGAGACACACGACTTGTGGAATGAGTGTTCCAACGTTTTTGGACACACATGATCATTGCAGCGACTCTTCACACCCACGCTAACTACCAAGAGACACGCGTCTTCACGAGTCTGGGCGAGAGAAGTCAATCACGTTGATGTGCAGATGTTTACACCGCACACTTTACCAGAAAACAAAGCACGGTGTCTGTAGGCCCTACCGTCAAGTGGAAGTTATACTGGTGGTCCAAACGGAATAAAAAAATCATGTAGGGAAAGCTGAAATTGAGCACCTTCCCGGGGTAGTGTTTGTGGTGCGAAGAATGCGCTCGGCATTTGGCACCAGCGCCCATAACAGGTCCGTGTGCCCTTCGTAGCAGACCGCCAGTTCCCAAATTGACTGTGGACAACAGTATGGGCATACAGTGAAACCTGTCTAAGACGAACGTTCAAGGGATCTTCAAAACGTTGTCTCCGTTACCAGGTGGTCTCCTTGTCCAGGGTCACTTGACTGGAAATAGCATCCCTTGTTCCTGGTTTCAGTGGTCCTCGGGAACAGATGGTCGCGTTATCCGAGTGGTCGCCTTGACAGGTTTTACTGTACGTGTACATTGTACGTTGTACGTGTATGTACTTACATTTGCCTCACATTTTTTTCACGTCTACATGACTTTATTTTGCCCGTAAAAGAGGCCGTTACCCCGTAAAAAAATTAAAAAAACTTACATTTGCCTTGTGTTCTAGACCAAGGCAAGGGTGGGCGGCATAGGAAGCATAACAATGTTGATGTGTTTGCACAAATCCATAATCAATTAAAACGACTGCTGTAAAAGGGCCCGTTGCCTGTCGATTTGTGTTGATTGGCCAGTAAAAATAAGTCCTTTTGACAGGCGTTTAACAGCGCTGGGCATGTGTTGATCCGTGTGGGTCATAACACGGCAATGGTCCGCCTGTCATTGGTCCAGCCGTGCACATCAGTGCCCGACCCGGGCCGAACTAGTAGTACACCTTGCGTATGCTTCTGCCGTCTTCTGGAGCCACTTCACGAGCACGCGGCTAGAGCCTCCACTACAGAGATTTGCTGGCGCGTCGAGGTTTCCTGTGGTCGACACTGCGTTTCGGACGCGATCTTGACGCATGATGCGGTTTTGCAGTATCACTGACACCTAGCCACGATACTAGCGGTGACAGGTAGATCTGGCTCCCGTCAAATCTCAGACGATGTAGGAGTGATAATATTGTGGGGTACAGCTGTGTTCCGCTTCTGTGGCCGCAAACACAATACCCTACCCTAGCCATAGGAAATTCTCGTGATCTCCGATAACGAGTCATCTCGCCACTCGGGATAGCTGCCGCTTTCGTGCGCTCTACATGCCATGATGCCACCAAGGGACTTATAGATACTTCTAGTAGAATACAATCTGGCACACGGCTAGTGTGAATTTGGGAAAGAATATCACTGGTCTATCAAGACATCTCTGGTGTGATTGGAAGAGGGAAAGAGGAGACGTACTGCACAAAGATTTACCTTTCGTATTCCATCTCGTTACATGCAGGCAGACACGAGAAGAGTTTCCTCGAGTCGGTGTCTAGAACACTCCTGCACCATATTGCGGACAGTCTCTTTTGAGGTACCGTGTTCGCATCCGCAAAGATGACCCTTCGGCGATGGAGCCTTCTTTCGCTTTGTTCTCTGATTGTCTGTATCTGGTCTGGACAGGCAGCGGCAGTCGACCTCACCGGTAAGTCAATGGCCAAAGCTGCAATAATCGTTCTCGTCAAGAATCGGCGTTTCGCATTAAAGGTAGTGCGCAACTTCTTCTTTGGAGAATTTTTTTATATCCAAGGTAAACATGCACATGTGGTGGAGTATTATGCACGGTGCTTTCAAAGAACATCGTTTCGGTTTAGAACGCCATTGTAACCATTCAACTCCAGGCTTCGCTGACACTGGACATGTTGTCGTGCCCTAAGCTACTGGTAGTGTGTAATGCTCACATCAACTGCCGGTATGGCTGTGCTATTAGTCTCCGGCCGCCATGACGGGAACGACGTGTCATGTTTTGGTGTGGAGCATTAGTCTACTACTGTTGTCCTGGCTTTGCTAGAACGTCGTAGCGAGAGTGAACGAGAATACTAACACACCCAGGAAAGATGAAATTCAGACATGTACATGTTTGGTTCTCTACAAAATCCACATTATCTCCAGACATTGTGGTGAATAATGGAGTGTGGTACACGAATGCCGGACCATGACGGTACCAAATGGATTCATCCCGGCCATCACACAATGATCATGAATGATACCGGTTCTGAAAGAAGCATAGTATATATACCGTCTAATACTATTCCATGTGCCCGTCGAGTTTATGCTTTTTAGTTTTGCGTATCCCCAGTGTTAGCACTGAAAGTCTCCTTCCCGTGACTTGCATGATGATGCAGATTTCCCCCACAAAAGTGCTCTGCGATGTTTACAAGCACGAGGTTCAGGCGAAAAGGCCTCGCAGATGAGGCGTTATGGGCCGGAACAGCTTGCTATCAGTCGCATTTGGCACCTCCGTCCATCATTGTCCCCACAGACCTACAACTGTCTGGGCCGGTTTACAACTGGTGGTTTTCACGTCTTGGGAGGCCGATCTTAGTGCAAATAGCTCATGAGCTCGGAGCGCCACGGAGAAGGCAGGAGGCAGACTGTCCCTTTTTATGTTACAAAGAGTAGACGTCTACTCTTGATGTTACAAACAGGAGTCTACATGTGCAGTAAAAATACGTACACGCACAAGTCATAGCGCAGCAGACTGCATATCTGCATAATTGGAGCATTGGAACATTGGTTTCAAATCTTTATCCTCACGATTGCCAGTGGCCAATAAGAGATGATGGTAACGTTGTGATCGCGGTGCACTGCATAAGCCCACACAGTGACGCTCAGTGAAATCCGCTCAGGACGGTCAAGCTAGCGCCCTGCACCAATGAAAAGTCAACTGTTCTCAGGTCTGTGGCTGCACAGCGAAACACACGGTCGGATGTCGGCGAGCAGCACCTTTCTTGGCGACTCTTGCGAATGCTATGCCAAGCACAGGCACCAGACGCCCGCTAGGTGGTTATACAATGTACACGTACTTCCAAGTACAAGACATTACGAGCTACATGTTACAGCGGACTTTCTGAATCCAGATTATCGCGGGAAAGGGGAAAGAAGGGGTGGGCACTTATCCGTTATCATGCAGCGTCAACTACTTCTCGCTCTCTCTCTCTCCCGTCTCTGACTCTGAGCTTTGCGGACGGGGCAGGTATTATGTATACATACTGTAGTGCAGTTTGCTGCCAGAGCCTGGTCCTGGGCCAGGCTGGGGTCTAGGCGTGAACAATACATAGATGATAGAGTGGTGCGAGGTGAAGATGTGGATGTCAGGGAGTGGTATTTTTACGACTCCCCGGATAACAAGTGCTCCACTGCATGTGCAGACTCAGTACAGTACTTCGCCACTCGGCACTACTGCCACGTGCCTAGGCAAGGCTAAAATAATTATGCTTCTTCAACCCTGCTCATCATACTTCGTGTGTCATTTTCTGTGGTGTCATGTTGACTGTTGTCCTTGCCTTTTAGACATAGTCGAGCCGCCGGAGTGCAAAAGCAGGGGCGCTGCCATTGAATGGACGTATCGAAAGGACAACCATTCTGCGTGTTTCGCTTCGTGTGCCACCGAGCCATACGTCCTGCTTCTAGACGGTGGCAAGTGTCTGTGCGGCCGGCGAGGCAGTGCCCAATCAGGTAGGACTTGACCGTGATCCTGAACCCCAAATGTAGACCCTACTTGAAGTCTTCGAAGGACCTGTTCTTTTTTAAATTCTATCTAACATTATGCATGGCGTCATGTCAAGTACTGCTAGCCAAGTAGTAAGTACTGAAGATTTAGAACTGTTCGGGAAGTATGCATTGCAGCAGTTCGAGCAGTCTTCCGAGCAGTCTTCGCTTACTTGTAGTATTCATTTATTCAAGTCGGCAGGAAAACAACGAGCTCCCATGTAGGGAGCAACACACTCCTCCCCTACTATCGCCGAAGTCGCACCAACCTCTTCTTCACATGCAATCATTAATCCAACGTAAAACGCCAACAGTCACGGTTGCACATTATGATTATGGGACCTGTGCATGTTGTAAGGCTGGCGGTGTCATTCAAACAAGGGCTGCGTTAGTAGTTGTTTAGCCTCCTTGGATCAGGGCGCAGTTGCTCGCAGCCCTACTGATTACGCTGGCTTGAAGTTACCCCCATTGCCACACAAACGATCCCCCCCCCCCCCCCCCCCCGCTCCACTTGCCCCATAACATATTTTCCCTCTTTACTGGCTGAAAGAGTGCAGACCCGACCATGCAAACTGTGTTGTATGGAACGCTGGGCAATTGAACTACCGTATTATCTCTAATATAAGCACGGTTTTTTATTTTTTCAATGTACCTCCGCCCCGTGCTATTAATGGAGACGTTCCTTTATTGGAGACTGTTCCATTATTATTTCAACCTCATTTCATAGGCATGTTGCCATGGCCAGATTCATGTCAGACACACACATGTCAGGGTTTTTCGCCTGTACAGAATAATGAATTTACACAGTGTGCTTATAATGGAGACTGAGCACTTTATTTTTTGAATGCCGCCCCAAGGTGTTCTATTATTGGAGACGTGCTATTATTGGAGACTGTGCTTATATTAGAGATAATACGGTACTAATATTATTATTAATGATAGTTACGGTAAGAAAACACGATGGGGCTACACTGTTGTATTGTGCAGTAAAAGCATCATCCAGATCTTATGCATGGCCAGGGGCGGAAAACCTACACTAGTACGTTAAAAGGAAGGCGACTTAGTACGTGTGTGTGTGTGTGTGTGTGTGTGTGTGTGTGCCGGTTTGTGTGTGTGTGTGTATGTGTATGCGCATACGTGTGTGTGTGTGTGTGTGTGTGTGTGTGTGTGTGTGTGTGTATGTGCGTGTTTGCATGTGTATCACTGATGTTGCCCGCAGAACACTGGATCACGAAGGACGAAAGCATAATCCTTCTCAGCGTCACGGCGTTCGCAGTGATTGTTACCTGTGTTACTCTCGCAGTAGCTATAGTCCAGCACCGGAATCGACACGAGCGATGCAACCGATGCTTGCGCCACTTCAAATCCTCCGTTCTGGAGAACAGGCGAAGTCAGGGGGACATGCCGAAGCCAGATCCACTCGCGCATCTGGCGAGGAACCCGATGGCCGACGAAGAACCGTTCGTGCCTCTGACTCTCAACAATGCGCAGAACTACTACGACCAGACTCCCGAAGGGCCTCGAAACGCGGCACCGACGGAACCGCAAGTGTACCCGATCGCTATCTTTGATTCCGATCGCCACGGGGATTCGTACTACGAAACTATGGCGGCCGGATCGAGTACACCCTACGAGGGCATGAGTGCGTGTAGCGTCAACGCCGAAAGACAAGTGGACTTGGACAGCTCCAGCGAAAGGAGTCTAGCACCGTCGTCGTCCTCCTCCTCCAATGAAGATGGCAGTGATGACGAGCAGACGTTCGAAGACTATTGCGATATGATGCCGCAGGTGATCATGGCAAGTGATGAATGTGATAGCTCGAAGGACTACCAGTCCTTCGTCGTCAACTCATCACTGAAGACATTCATGGCGCAGAACGCGGCACGCACCGAAGAAGATCCAGATTACGGCATGGTTTGCTCTCCCGAGATAGAGAGCGTGGGCAACTGTTTGTACATGCCGCTCGCCAACCCTGAGCGCATCACCGAAAGTGTTGGCCCAGAGGCAACCAGTTGCTACCAGAGTCTGCAGGCTGCCACGATCCCACACTTTCACCGAAAGATGGTCATTAAGGAACACATCAGGTCGAGAGACCGCCTGCCGCCGCCGGCTCGAACGGACTACGAGTGTATTTGGGGCCAAGCTAGCCCCCCGCCGAATGCCTCAATACCATTAAGCAGCATTCGGGAAGAAGCCGATCAGGCCGCCCCAAACACACCGTATCGAACAAGATACAGCCTTCAAGAGCGACGAACGCAGAGGGCAGCTGAAAACGAGGAAAGATCCCGGCGGAGGACAATGCCATCGTCGAGTTTCTCCTACGCACCAACCTCGAGCATACCAAGCCCGAAGTCACTGTCACCTCTGGCAGCACGCACCCCAGTTTCACCGCTAGCAGATAAGGAGCCAACACTTAAGCCGGATGATGCGTACGAATTGAATTCAGTGGATGCCATCAACGACTACTTATGCGTCGCAGGTGAGCCAGCGCGGGAGCCATCAGATTCGCGTTCCTCTCCAAATAGGGGTGTTTGTGTGACTACGGCAAGGGACGAGGCAATGAACCTGTCCTTGAGAGCTCTCCCGGAACTGCCGAGCTTTTCCAGCAAGCCACCACAGTCTCCAGCGCAGCGGTGCAGTACTGCCACCACTACCGCCAGCTCACTGCCACCACTTCCCAAGACGCCGCAGAAACTCCAGCGATCCTTCAGCAGCTTGGATGCAGAACGTAAAGTCAGCCGTAAAAACTTCAGGGCATCCGAAAACGAGCCCAGTGGCCTCAGCAAGACTCGGGAGACTTACGTGCGCCCAGACGAGAATCGTGTCGCAGACCGACCGTGGAAATTGCAGAGGTCGATATCCGCGGGCGATCTGACTTCCAGGTCACCACCGCCAGTTCAACCAAATCCGCCGACCTCGCCTAGACCGGGCCATCGCACGGCCAGCATGTCCGAGAGCGATCGCAAGCGAAAGAGGGCATGGCAACCGCTGCCTCGTCAGGAAACGGACCCATACGTGGAGCTGTCCAGTGAAGTAAGGCAACCACCCGTGCCGTCCGAGACCAGCCGACCTCACGCCAGCTCTCGTGAGCGTTTGGCCATGAGCACACCGGATGTTTCACAACTTCACCGCCCGCCTCTCCCGACACCTGCTGCTGGTGCACCTAAACGGCACTCGGCAAAGCATCAGGACGAAGTTGGGAAAGTACGCCCAATGTTCTACGACGATGATGTTGCACGTGGAGAGCAGGACACGTACCTGGACCTAGCAACTACTGCAAGCGAACAACATGAAAAGCAACTTCCAGCGACATCAACAGCATCCGCAATGCGCCACCTCTCATCCTTACCGGTTATACCCGCCGTGTGTGAGAGTCGTGGCCCACCAACTCTGCCCCGGCCCGGTGCCACGCGTCCACCCGCCAGCTTTTCTCGCACGGACGCAAGCGACAGCTCGAAGATGCAGCAGCGTTCCGGCAACCCCCATCGCCAGCAGATGCTCTCACTGCCAGTCAACAGGGGACCACCAAAGACTGGCGCCAAGGAATACGGGCAAGTGCGACCCATGTTCACTGATGATGATGGTGGGGCAGACAGCCCGTACATGGACCTCGCTGGATCGCAAAATTCTAAACCCATCACGGCACGGACGTACGCTGCTGGTCGAAACCCCAAGGACCAATTTGAGACGCCAAAGACTGGCGCCAGGGAATATGGGCAAGTGCGACCCATGTTCACTGATGATGACGGGGCAGACAGCCCGTACATGGACCTCGCTGGATCGGAAAATTCTAAACCCAGCACGGCACGGACATACGCTGCTGGTCGAAACCCCAAGGACAAATTTGAGACGCCGAAGACTGGCGCCAGGGAATACGGGCAAGTGCGACCCATGTTCACTGATGATGACGGGGCAGACAGCCCGTACATGGACCTCGCTGGATCTGAAGATTCGAAACCCATCTCGGCACGGACATACGCTGCTGGTCGAAACCCCAAGGACCAATTTGGCGCGGTTGGCGAGATGGATAGTGTGTACATGGACCTTGCTGGATCGGAAGGTTTCGAACCCATCCCGTCACAAACATACATGTGCCCTGCTGGTCAATACCCCAAGGACCAATTTGGCGAGACAGAAGACATGGATAGCGTGTACATGGACTTTGCTGAGCCGGAGGAAGCAAATGCCCCGCAGCGACCGCCGAATGTTGCTCCCCGGGAGCGCCTGTCAGCCACTGAACTGCCCGCTGCATATGGATCATTCTGTTAGGCTAGAGGCTCAGTGACCTAATGCCCACCCACCCCCCCCCCCCCCCCCTCACACACACACACACACACACGCACACACACACTGCATTAGTGTTACTGAGCTATATCTGGTATTCTCGCCTTTTTCTGATCACTTGAAGACACTTGAGTGTGTTCCGCGTCAACGATTCGGTTGTTTGCATTTTTGTTTAGCTAAAATGTAACTTCCCCGTCGGCACAGGCAATATCTGCCTTTTCACACCGCATATCACCTCAGTTCTCGCAAAATGATGAACGGATCGGTGTACAGGTACATGTACACGATCAGTAGAAAATCATAATTTCCTTCCGAAGCTGACGCCGTCTTAAATAGTAGCATTACTGTACCATAGGTACAGAGAACAAACATGGCCTCTTGAAGCTATTCCATAGCAATCGTGTACGGGCACATGTGTCCGACTAACCCGTAACCGCTCCAGGAAAATACGTTCTGTGTTGTTTCATACTTTTAAGAGTTGAGCTGTTTCGAGAGAGGTACTTTGAATGTGTGTGCCTAACCAATCCATGGACAGCATGCAGTTTTTGCTATTTTTTCATCCTAAGGCCGGTTGATCTCGTGTTCGGGGAGTAACTCTAATTGAGAGTGACTAACCGTTCCTAGTATACTTTTTGCAGAATAAAAATTAATATTATCAACAGACTAAGAGTTGAGCTGTTCACAGAGGAACTAAGTTACTTTGAATTCGATGTCCAGTCAGTATAATTTTAAAAGCTTTCCTAAATCAGCTTGTCTCTTTGCACAGTCATTTACCATGTAGTTATGCCAAGCTCGGCTCTGAGTTTTACGAATTGCTTCACTTTTGAATATTACTGCTTGAAGCAGTCACATTTTATCAAATCAATCATCATGATCATGAATGAGCCGATGGTACAGCGGTGTGTGTGTGCGTGCCTGTGTGCGTGTGTGTGTGTGTGTGTGTGTGTGTGTGTGTGTGTGTGTGTGTGTGTGTGTGTGTGTGTGTGTGTGTGTGTGTGTGTGTGTGTGTGTGTGTGTGTGTGTGTGTGTGTGTGTGCACATGTGTATGTGTAAAGGCTAGGCTGATCTCTCAGAGCCGCCATTGAATCCACAGCTAGGCTGAAAATCGTTTCTCTGGATACTTTCAGTACGACAGTAGCAGCACGTGTGTGTGTGTGTGTGTGTGTGTGTGTGTGTGTGTGTGTGTGTGTGTGTGTGTGTGTGTGTGTGTGTGAGGGGGGGGGGGGGGGGTAGTTATTTTGGTAAAATAAAAAATAAAAAAACCAATCAGGCAAGAGAAATGAATACCGGTACCTACAATAGCACCTGTGTGGTTGCATACTCACTGGCCTCACCATAATATTATTTGCGCAACTTCTGCAAGGTCGGGAGGGGGGGGGGGGGGGGGGGAATTATTAAAAATAAAAATTTTGTTGCTTCAGTCAGGTCAGACCAGGGAGTACAATCATCATGTGCAGTGTAGTTGGTTCTCACGACTGAGTTCCCTGCTTCGGGCCACAAAAAGCTGTCCCTCCAGGAAATCGCGATTCCACGGATGCAACAAATTTCGCGATTTTGGCCCAAACCCGCGATTTTCAGCAAAACTCGCGATTTCCCGCGTTTTGGTTGCTTTCTGCACTATATCTCACATGTTTCATGCACTTTTCACACAGTGCTTTCCATGATCCTGTAGGTTACTTGCACAGTATAACTCGTACTACTCCGGAGTAGATAAACGATGCAACAAATTTCGAGATTTGGCCCAAATCCGCAATTTTTTGCAAATAATTCCGCGAATTCCTGGCAAGCTCTGCATCATTCCGCACTTTTCGTCGCATTTTTTGTGGTTTTCTGCCACAATTTCTTGAGCAAGTTTTCGAGAGTTTTTTCCGCAAATTCCCGCAGGGACAGAAAAAGTGAAGTAGCGGACTTGTCATGTCATGCAAGCAACGATTACGTACACCATGTACACTGCAGAGTACCAGTCTTCTGCCTGGGCCGAAGTGTGAAAATGACATGACATTGTACATAATCATTGAACAGTGTATGTCAATGTACGTCATGTAATTGTACAATACATGTACGATCAGCAGGTTATTGTGCACTCACAACTATTCGAGTCCTGGTGCCAGTCCTGGTGCCAGACCTGGTGCCAGTCAATTTTTTCTTCAGACTTTTCCCGTTTGCGTCTTTCCCTCAAACCAGTGAATACCTTAGGCTTATGTATTATTTTTGGATTCTAAAAGGGCTAGGGTCCTACTCCTAGGGACCTGTATGTACCGGGTATGTACCGGCAGCACACGAACTACTACTGTTGAAAATTACAAGAACAAAGTAACAGACTATTGCTGACTGCACACCAATCATCATTCCAGTCACTTCAATGTGCTCTACCTTCTTCTGCTCGACACCAATCCCAAATATTCACATCCACGGCGAGAGCTTTTCTCGCGAACATTGAACGAGGTGAAAGAGCAGCCAGGTATTCGCGTCTGATGATCTTCATTGTAAATGTCAGAACTGAAACGATTCGGATTTCCCCTTTGCTCTGGTATTCACGACTGTGAATGGACTCTGCTGGCACTGTGCTGAACAGCTGGCCGGCATCCTCATCGTTGTGCGTCACGGCCACACCGTCATTCGGTCCGCGTGCAGTTTTATTTGGAGTGCGGACAAACTAACTACTGTACTTGTGTCTCCGCTAGCGCTAGCGTCGTGTCGGTATACCATGGTATACTACTATACTAGTAATATTCATTTTCTCGTTGTTTGTGGTGTGGTCCAAAGACAGTCTAGCTAGTACTAGTACTAGTACTGAGTAGAGTCTACTACTCAGTACTAGTACTGGATCTTGTAGTTTTTGTAGTACATAATGTACTATGTACCAATGCATCTCGAGATATTTCAAAAAATAAAAAAGAATGACGGAATGCTATACCCAGTCGTATCCTGGTAGTATATCGGGCCGGCCCAGGCCGGCAGACTGGCAACAAAACTCAAAAGTAACTACATGCGTGTACCATGGTGTACTGGTAAAAAGAGTGATCGCTTCCTATCATTCACCCAACGAGACGGCGAGAGATTTTTCCTACATGACATTGTACAATGTCATGCAGTCTTTGCGCAATGATGATGTAAAACTCAAACTCAAAGGCTTGCTTGCATTTTGAGAGAGAACAGAGATGTTGCGGCAGTGCGCTGCCCGCAGGATATTACGTATAGCTATGCCTGATGAGTTCCCCGCCGATCGCTACCCTGACTCTAGCTAGAGCTTCGAACATTTGTCGGAAATGGCCAGCGCGCAGGATGAGTCGCCGTCGGTCAAATTTGCCGAACCTCTGCCAGCCTTCCGCGCTCCGTCACCAGAAAGCACCTCAGCAGCAGACATCGAGGAAGCAAATGGGCAAGGTCAACGCAGTAGCGATAAGGACCTGATCAGGCGACGGCGTAGCGATGCGAAGGCGCGCAGTAGGCCTAAGAGCATGCACGCTCGTCAAGAGAACGGAACCGGCCAGGAGGGCATCGGAGCCGAGGATTCAGCCAGGACGAAACGGCATCAACCAGTGGCCGTTGAAGATGAACATCGCACTTCTCTCCAGCAGCCGGGGCCGCCAAAGCAGAGGAAGCAGGGTGAGCGGCGAGCCAAATCAGCAGGGCCTAGTCCATTCAACACCGAGGCGCGCAGTCTGGTGTCGATCCAGACGAACTTCATTGTGGAAAACTTAATGAAAGCGCCCGTGGAACGCACTGATGACGCTGGTCGTGGCAGAAAGAAGAGTTCTTTGACCCCCGCACTGCCTGTTTCATCCCAATCAAGCTATCTATCCAAGGCCACCACACCCAGGACCCCGCCAGCGTACGATGCCTGTTCGGAAAGCTCTAGCCGCGTGCTCTCCAGGGCCACGTCGTCGACGCACTCCTCCGACGTGTCATCAGAATCACGACAGATATCGCTCGACGGAGAGGACGCGGATGATGACGTGTCCGAGGAGTCTTCGTCGGCTATCAAGCATTGGAAACATGCACAGAAATGGCTGCACCGGTTGCAAAAAGAAAGCGCCGAGAAGAGCCGAACGCGAGCGGCATTTGCCGCTGCCATGAAGCTGCAGCAGAAGCGACGGCAGATGAAGAACTCCACGGAGATCGTCGAGCGCTATCACGAGCTAAGCGAAGTGCGGCGCATCACTCGTGATCTCTCGCGCGACCGGAAAACCCAGCTGTCGGAGCTGCTCGAAAACGGAGGTATTCGCATGCCTGGCCGTGCTCTGGAGCAGGACGGTACAGAAATCTCACATGATACTCTGACCTTGCCCTCGTCTGCTGCAGGTGAAGCGTTACCGGTTCCGGACGCTGCAAGAAGTGGAACTGAAGCAGCAACAGCAGTGGCCTCTGATGCTAGTGCTGCGGCGGAAACCTCCATTCCAAAGCCGCCTCCCGTGCCGGACGAGCTGATAACCTTACACGCGAACCATGCTCCCTGCCAGCCTCGTCTCCGTGCACGGCGAAGACGAAGCAGGCACCGGCGGCAGCGCAAGGAGCTGAAGCGCAGCTTGAGCCACGAAGGCGCCGAGCCACTGGACGGAACCGTCAAACAGCGTCACAGGGAGAAAACAACGGCGAGCGCGCCGATGCTGGAGGGCAGTGCGGAGGTGAAGCGGACAACTCGAAGACGGCGTCGTAGGCAACAGCAGCGGAGAAGCCTCGAGAGGGCTGCCTCCGATGAAGACCCGTATCAACCTCTTGCCGAAGCCTTGCCAACTGATCAATCTCGGCGAGCGAGAGCAAGCCGTCGAGTCAGACACTCTGAGGGTGGCGGCGCTAGACATGGTCTGAAAGAGCAGTTGGACATGGTGCAACACCAAGCTAGCAGTAAACAGGGCAGAACTGCGTTTGGCGTCAAAGAGCCAGAAGACATTCGATCAGGAATGAACGTTTTGTGTCCGGTGCCACAGGGGCTTTCTGTTCGGGCTGCTGACGCACCAAGGTATTCCTTACCGGCCGATAGTGGAATTGCCGGGGACGTGCTCAGTCTGGGTGCCGATTCGCAGGCCGATGCCGGTGCCGCAGGAGACACAACACCGTGCGTCGAGTCACCGCCGCACACGCTTGGCGAGCAGCTTTCCAACATGTCCGTCCAGACCCTGACCTCTCTGGACAGTAGCAGCACGTCATGCTTCACCGCTGCGTCGACCAAGTCCCTGTCTTCTGCAGCAGGTAGTGGCGACGAATCTCAGTCGCTCGAATCGTCGACGTCAAGTAGTGTGTTTGCACAGCTCTCCTCCTACACTTCAGTTCCTGTCACCCCACTGGCAGAGCAGCAGGAGGAAAGGGGCATGCTCTTTCAGCGGCGACCGTCCGACCTTCCCACCGGTGTGTTGATCATACCAGCCCGGGATGACGGTCTCATACCGGACGACGGATCATCTCTCTATCCCGCGGTGCCGTTTGCTCCACCACCACCGCCGCCTCATCCCGCAGTTGCGTCCCACGCCTTGTCTGTCGAGCCCGTTGGCGCAGCAGCCAAGCTGAGCGCACGCTTAGGCGAACGGTTCAGAATTCTTTCCACCGAGTCTGAGTCGCAGTCGTCCGACTTTGATTTTGACGATATTGAGGACGGGGAAGTCTATGATAGCGATGGTGCTCTGCTCCACAAGCCAGAGAATACTGAAGCAGCCGTAGCAAAGGCAAAAACACCACCAGTCCGCCGCGGGTCCTTCTTTCAGCGTTTGGAGGGAATGGTAAAGACACGTAAGATAACCGTGGAGAAGACCTCCTTCCAGCTTTCCGGCGGGCTAGAGCTTGACGAAGACTATAAGGGCCGGGAGGATGCGTTCGACGAGTTCCGTGAGAACCTGGGCGATGACGGCTTTGCCAATGCGGCTGATGTTGGCAAGGAGGGCGAAGAGGATTATCGCCTGCCTATGATCAGCAAAGAGGAGATCGTCCTTATGCGAATCATCGAGATAGCCGAGGAAATCGAGGACGAGTACGGCGAGATGTTCGACCATGCCATAGCGGACGTAACGAACAAGAACTTGACGTTCTCCTCTTTCTCCGACACCGCACGGTCCTTTCTCGGCGTTGACAGGCTGTCACCCAAGAACGTAAGTGTATGGCAGTGTGCTGTGCGTGTTTGTTATGGCTGCGGTAATTCATGTACACCGCGTGCAGTACATGCATTTATTCACTTGCAACAGAAAAGAGAATCTTGTTGAGCACTCTCGGTAGGCTGTTCTAGTGCTGCTGCATTATGCATCGCTCGCTGCTATAAGACGTGTAGATATAGCGAGGAAGCAAATCTAGCGTTTTAACGGGTGACGTTTCTTCGTTGTAATAAGTTATGTTGAGGCTGTAAGGCCACATATGTGATATGTGCGGATATGCCTGAAGACTGCAAGATCGTTATCGTATGTTCTCGTTAACCTATGGATTTTGGACAATCGTTAAATTTGCGAGTCTTTGCGACTCGTTATAATAACATGTCTTACAGTACTTTTAGTAGTTAGAGCACTCTGGCGCTAGAATAACGACCTATCTTATTGTCTGTGGTGCCCCCTTTGCACCATGGCCGGTAGCTCGGCTTACTTAAGCGCATGGGCTTAATCCGATTTTTTTTCCATATTTAAAGTGGCGAAAACAGCAATATTCCAAATATAAGCCCTTGGGTTTTATGCGCGTGAATACGGTATGTGCGCTGTGATTTGCTACTGTATTGCAGTAGAGTCATTACTACCCTATCAATAGTACAGTCGACCTACCCTTATAACGATATTTGCGTCCGACCAAGAAATATTGTTATAAGGGTAATATTGTTATAGGGGTAACTGGTTCATTCATACACATACGTCATAATGCATGAATTTAGTTCATTTTTTTACACTCTTCCTAGCGTTAAAAACCTATGTACATGCACTTTATTTACGCAGCAAGGTGCCCACTGGTGCCCCCATTGCATTTCGTCATGTCCCAGCGACTTATCAAGTGAAGCTTGCCCTACCTTGACAGTGGACTCTACATGCTCCCTGCTGGATATTGTTATAAAATGGAAAATGTCGATTGGTCAGCCCATTTTATATTGTTATAGGGGTAATATCGTTATAGCGATATTGTTATAGAGGTAAGGCATGTTATACAAAAGTCAATGGAGTGATTTGGTTTGGCAGAAAAATATTGTTATAAGGGTAATATCGTTATAGAGGTTATCGTTATAAGGGTAGGTCGACTGTACCATTATCATGTACATGACATCGTATTCTCGGTGCTTGTTTCTCAATCGGGGCATTTTTGCCGTACAGATTTGGGCTGTGCTGGGATTTTCACGCCGTGTCGTGCAAGAGCTGCCGTCCACCGCGGAAATCGTCAGCGACTACACGACTCGTCTACTCGAGGAGGAAGCCCTGGACTATGTGAATGATCGCGGCGGTTGGGTAAGTGCATGCCACTGTAATGTATAATCGTCGCTTTGCAGCACCCTGGATGCACGTGTGGTATACATTTGTCGCATTGTATATAAAGTGCAGTTGCCCCTCACTAATCTGGAACTTTTTTCCCGAGCCCTTGCAAAACAGCGCAGTTTCTGACGAAACTGGGGTTTTCAGTCTATTTTCAACGCGCCCTCCCCAGTCAGGGATCCACTCCTGGCACAGAAGAATTACATACCGTATTATCTCTAATATAAGCACAGTCTCCAATAATAGCACGTCTCCAATAATAGAACACCTTGGGGCGGCATTCAAAAAATAAAGTGCCCAGTCTCCATTATAAGCACACTGTGTAAATTCATTATCTGTACCGGCGAAAACCCCCTGAAATGTGTGTGTCATACATGAATTTGGCATGGCAACATGCCTCTGAAATGAGGTTGAAATAATAATGGAACAGTCTCCAATAAAGGAACGTCTCCAATAATAGCACGGGGCGGAGGTACATTGAAAAAATAAAGGACCGTGCTTATATTAGAGATAATACGGTATGCATGCGACACCAACACATCCTGCACTTCACTATGGGCACAGTGGATCCAAAAGTCGTCTTGTCGTTGTTAGATTTCGACTTCTGACGCCATCGCTTTCTTGCCCGATATGTAATAGAATAATATCTCTGCGTTTATGGTTACTGTGCACAGGGAACTATGCTGAAAGAGCCGGAGGCTGTTGTGAACGAGAACGATTCCGACGACTACCCCAGCGGTGGCTTGGCCGTTGGAATGGCCGTGGCTGATGGCATCAGCTCTATAGCGCGCCTCTTCTCGCCATCGCCCAACCGCAAAGCGAGCCCGAAGGGTGTCGGTCGTGGGCCGCGCAGCTCTGTGGACGCGTTTCAATTTCCACAATTGCCACCATCAACAGCCGCATCTGCTAGGGAAGCGGACACTGCTCTGGAAAAGGTTCTAGATCGCCATCGGGAGGAGAGTGCAAGAGAAATGGTCGATAACGGTGATGATGATGAAAACGATGGAGCCGTGGAGATTCTTGCTGACAGTGAGGTGTTTGAGCAGAACGCAAGCAGCAGCGAAGCAGCGGCGCCGGCAGAAGGTGTGAGTGAGCCGAGAGAGCCAGACCTCCGGTCCCGCCTGATTGGTTTTGGCTCTACGTCGACGGCTAACGTGGACACTGGCTCTGCCATGCCGGGGTTCGGACACGAGGTGAGTGTGCTCATACCATGATTCATACATCTGAAACTGGCATCCTAATTGTTTGTGTCTCAAGCGTATAGGAGGCAGGCATAGTGGGATGGTCTAAGACCATGACTTAGAAACAGAGGGTACCAGGTTCAAGTCCTGCTTGGAAGCGGAAGGATTTTTTTCCAGCCGTGCTGCGACCCACTGTTACGTCAGGCGAAATAGCACGTCATAGTACATTTGAGATCAGCGGGAAGAAGATGACGACGTCCACTAATTTAGTATCTGTGCACACAAATCTGCTGTGTGTGTGACTCTGTGTGTCAGCTATGATATCATCCCCTGTGGTTCCATGCCTAGCATGTACGTCTGAACCATCCTGCAAAGTTTGAATGACGTAGGTTGAGCGATCGCTCCGCGAAACATACTTTTTGAAATTCTCTTCATAGTATATCTTCCACCATTGAAATTTCGAATTTCTTGCTGAGAGGGGTGGCTTGCAACCTCAATAAGGCTTGTTCCAGGCATGCTTCGGAGCCATCTCCTGTTGAAGTAGTGGCGGGGATCTGCCCTGCAACTGCTCAACAAAAAATGATTCGATCTGAGAAAGGGTGAGACCGCGAATCTCGGTTGAATATTGAGTATTTCAAGCCTTTTCACGACGAAGATGGAGTTCTTTTTGGAGATGGACGTCGCGGCAAAGGACATGGTGTCCGACTTCTGACTTCTGGTGAAGCCAGGGATCATTTGTCCAGTCTCCCAGCAGGTGAAACGCAATTTTTTGTGAAAAATGCGGCTCGCCGACTGACCAGTAATTTCGCCTGACGAATTGGGAACTGGTGCCCTGGCACGAGGGAAACATGTATGCAGGGAATGGGATTTTCGGTCTTTGACCACTTTGTGGTGGGTCTGATGTTCTCACCCTCCACCACTTAGGAGCTGCATCTGCGCCTTCATCCTAGAGAGTGGTGGCGTTCCTACGGATGCGGAAAACTCGACTTCCCGCCGAGTCTCACCCGAACCGTGAATCTTTTAAGCGTATAGTGGTAGGAGTGGAGGGTGTCGGGATCATTAGGTATGTGTGTATGTGTGTGCATTATGCATGTGAGAATCCCTATGGTGGTCCCTCAGTTTTTCTGCTGCAGGTAATGCTTTATATCAAGCTGAACCCCTCTCTCTCTCTCTCTCTCTCTCTCTCTCTCTCTCTCTCTCTCTCTCTCTCTCTCTCTCTCTCTCTCTCTCTCTCTCTCTCTCTCTCTCCTCTCTCTCTCTCTCTCTCTCTCTCTCTCTTTCTCTCTCTCTCTCTCTCTCTCTCTCTCTCTCTCTGTTTCTCTCTCTTTCTCTCTCTCTCTCCCTCTCTCTCTCTCTCTCTCTTTCTCTCTTTCTTCCCCTCGCGATTCCCCCCCCCCCCCGCCCCTCCTTCCTCCTCTGCCTTTTGTAGGTGACACGGATTGACGCCGATGCAATCACTAGCGAGGAGTGGAACGGTTTGCTGGAACATGTTCGCTCTAACCTGGGTGCCTCGGATGAGATAGACGACGGACAAAGGAGGTACCGGCGTCATCGATCCAGATTGCAGAGTAAGTATTGTGCTGGGTTTGTCTCCGGAGTACCGGAATAGTTGATGCTAGTCGGGATGGCGGCGTCATGAGCAACATTCTTCTAGTTAGCTGCTGTATATATGAGTACAGTTCTGTTGGGCGCCGAAGAACGGAGCGCCGAAGAATGAACAGGCTTAATTCAATTTCACAAAGCACAGCATGCCAATATATGCACCATGACTCGAATGTGCATGGACTGTTGTAGAGTCCAACCTCGTTAGGACGAACTCTGATATGACGAACTTCCCATTAGTACGAACTAGGGCCAATCCTATGGTTGGCCAGGCATCGTATCAAGTCAAAATTATTCGTTTAGGCGAGACCAAAAAAAATAGAGATTCCCGGGCCCTCCCGCACCAAAATCGAGCCGAAGGCAATTTTTTTTACAGTTCGTATTATGTTCAGTACTGATCGTGCGAGTAGATCTGTGACATGGTGTCACACAAACCTGGGCTTGTACGACTCCCTGGTGTACGACTCAGGGCTGTCGTTGGCCGAAATACAAAAGAAATTGTACGGGCACCGGTAAACCACGTACCATATACCTGTCGTCTGTAAAAAATAAAAAATAAACACCGGAAAATACTGTAAAAAAAGTTCAGCATGCCATGCATACACACATAGGAAAAAAAATAAAAAATAGAAATTCGCCCGCCCGCACCAATTTCAGATGGGTCCTGCCCGGGTATCTCGATTTTATTTTGGTCTCGCCTTACGACGAACCCTGTAGGGCGAACTTTCGTGAAGACGAACGAACTAATTCAAGCGTAATCTGAACAAAATCAGCACGTAGTACGAACTTTCGGTCCACATGCGTGCACTGGCTGTACTTTAAAAAAAAAGAAGTAGTTTTTTTCCTACAGTCGAGGCCTCTTGTGCGGGCAAAACGAATTTACAGCATGGTACAACGCAGAGAACATGTCATGATTTCATTGCACATTGTACTTACCTGTTGCTGGCTCATGCTCTGAATAAAATGCTTTCAAGTACATGTGCCACAATACGCGCCTTCACACTAATCCGTATGATATGCATATCATTTTTTTGGCAGATCTGGGTAAGAAGAACTCCGGATAAGACAAACAAACTGGTTCAGTCCCTTGATGTTCGTCCTAACGAGGTTTGACTGCACATGAAAATAAGAACGGCTTACGCTACAAGGCTGCCTCCCCCCCCCCCCCCCCCATAGTTCTTCGGTGGCCGAGAGTAGTGTGTCCTTTTACCAGCAACGTCAGTGAGATTCACAGGGATAATGCGAATACCACCCTCGTGAGTGCGTAATGCGCTGGTCATTAGGCTTGTGCTAGCTTGGTGACGAGTAGGATTTTGGGCATCGTTCATCTATATTTATGACGTGCTTGCCTCGTGCAGGCGTGAGTCCTAGCAAAGGGATTAACTCCAGTTCTCGTCCCTATGCTCAAGAACCCAGATAGGGTTGATACAGTTCATGGCTGTGCACACCTGCGATCATTCAAGCCCACACAAACACTGCTCTTGCAACTCTGCATATCAAATTGGGCAAAAAAAAAACTCTACAAAAATATGCACAAAGTTGAACTCGGATGGTGGACAGTTGGTCATAACTCGTAACATTTTGTCCTTCTCCTTTTTTACCACAAAAATATGCGTGCATCATTTTTGCAGATATCATGCGCTTCTGTAGAGCTTGTCATGTAAGTCTTCATCATGCTTCAAAGCCCTTAGATTGCAAGCAAAACGAATGGGTGGTGTGAGCTAACAATAACAATTTCCCTCAGCTATGCTCTAACTTCGTCAATGTCATGTGCCGGCTGTGTTTCTGGTGCTTTAGGATACAACTTTGTGATCGATGGTCCTGGAGTTGTCGACGACGGCGAATCAACATGCGCCAGCGATAGTTGTGTGGATACTGATTCCTCAGTCATTGCTGATTCGGTGAGTGCTTGGTGACTAGATAAGTAGGAATTGCCCGGAAGAGCGAATCTGTTTGTTTAGAGTCAATCAAGAGTAGATGCTTTTCCCGGGCTGAATTAACTGCATAGAGTGTCCACTCTCTGTGCCCATGCGACTTTACTCTTCATAGTATGATTTGATACCGACCTGGCCTTTATGGAATAGTAGTAGTGATGGAGTAATGGTCACCAAGGAGTGCTCAGCTTTTGATCAACAGCCATGCCCTACGCCCCAGATGTAGGAGAGCGTGTACTGCATGTGCACCAGATCGCAAACTTTTCCATGTACAAATTGGTCTGTGCTCGCTAATTATGTATTAAAACCGTCGCACCCCCCCCCCCCCCTCTACAAAGTCTGTCCAAAAGCTAAAGGGGAAGTATACCCTGAAATCAAATTTTCACCAGTTGTAGTCTTCGGGGTGCTGAGTCGAATAGTCTTGGTCCGAGGAAGCTGAGATGCTCCCTTCCTCGTAAATTCCCAATCGAACTCGCCATTTCCACCGAAACTGAGTGACTGCGCCCTACTAGATGGAGACTTGTATGCCAAATGTCACTAAAAGTGCCATTTCGTTCTTATTAAAGCCCGAATGACCGCGATTTGCCCACATGTTGTAGTCTTTTTTAGTCGACTGGTTTTGGTCCGAGAAGGCTGCCATGCAGCGTTCCACCTTTATTCCCAATCGAACATGGTTGAATAAGCGGCCACATGCTCATGCGTACACCAGTCCCCTCGTCACCGTGCCTGCGGGCTACAACTTTCACACCAAGGTTCAACTCAAAAGTTCAACTCGAGTGACAGGAATGCGCCCAAACAGGCTATAAGTTTTACCCTGCAGGCACGGAGGATGGAGGAAGGGAGCGTGTCAGCTTCCTCGGACCAAGACCATTCGACTCAGCACCCCGAAGACTACAACTGGTGAAATTTGATTTTAGGGTATACTCCCCCTTTAAGAATTTCGTTCGAGTGTCATAACTCTGCGCCATGAACTCGGATCGTCTTCGGGTTTTTTTTGAGCCGACAGCTGAGGCTTTTCTGATACGATTGGACCTTTCGTTTGTTGAATTCGAACAAGGATTGACTGAATGACGAAAGTTTGAAGTCACCTCAGCATGCACTGTACAGTCAGGTGGATATATCCGCCCTATAGGCGTTATAGGGTTAAAAGATGTGCTGGCATTCTATTCTGGCCTATGCGATGGTAGCACATTTTCATTGTGTTTTTTGAGGCAGGAGATTGAGCCAATCTTTTGTCCCATGACCTGTCCTATTGTTCATGCAGATGGAGATTTACCCGAAGAAGCCCGAGGACGAGATATCTGTCCGCCGAGTCAAACCTCCCACCTTGATGAAAGGTATGCTGATGATGCTGTCATCCATTTCGCTGTGTTCGGAGACAGTCATGAGTGATCCATCCTGACCCACAGGACATGTACTGATTTTTTTCTGACATCTATGTACTGTCATGTTCAATCGCCAGCCGTCTGCTGTCATGATCTCCTTTGCTGTTCCCGTGTGCGTGCGCCGGTGTGATTCTGTGTGTGTGTGTGTGTGTGTGTGTGTGTGTGTGTGTGTGTGTGTTTGCGTGTGTGTGTGTGTGTGTATGTGTGTTTGTGTGTGTGTGTGTGTGTGTGTGTGCCGGTGTGTGTGTGTCGGTGTGTGTGTGTGTGTGTGTACTGATGTGTGCATGTTTGTGTTTGTGTGTCCATGTGTGTGTCTGTTCATGTGTGTCCGTGTATGTGTCTGCATGTCTGTGTGTGTGTGTCCGACCATGTGATTATGACTGTGTGCATGTGTTAGAGCGTGCCTGCATGTGCACGTGTGTACATGCCATCCCCTTTGCTGATACTTTTCTACTTTCCTTGTTTTTGATCTGGCTCTCTCAGAAACCTCCAACAACGACTCTGTGGATGATAGCGTTGAGGAGCCCACATCGCTGCTGACACGCATCACCACAATGGGTATGGTCACGGCCGGGGCTGCAGTGCTCGCCGGCTTGTCTTTCTTCAAGCAACAGACATGAGTGGCCCAAGCGGTTTCTGCTGGTTGAACTGAGATGAAGGTCAGGTTCGCATCGGGACTAAGTTCGGTGAATCATCAGCTGTGTGTTCAGTTCTGATTCTTACAGACCGTGGTGTCGTGTGGGTTACCGGAAGCCGTTTACGCACGACGTTCGGTGTATCCTGAGCTGCACTGTAATGCTGATCTGATCAGCCATGATCGTGTTCTATTTACTAAAGCTGTGTGCTTGGTGGCTGCTACAGCCCCTTTCTTGCCCATGCACCCAGTACCTAACCAGCCATGCAGCGCAATGCTGGACCAACACATGTGACCGTCTCTATCACTTGTGCAATCCTCGGATCCTGTAGCGCTGTCAGTGTCGTCGTCCTTACTTGCTGGCAATGCTGATAGGCCAGTAAGCATGCAATGCCGTTCCATGTGGTGGAGCGCGATATGCATCACCTTCATTGATCTCTCATCAGTGTGCGGCACATTACCTGCTCTGTTTGAAACAGTCGCTGTGTGGCTAGCCCTGAACACGGGTGCCTTTCACATGCATGCCAACTTGCCTTTTGCTATGCATCTTTGCACTCTGATGCTGACTAACTTCTTGCTATTTTCTGTCATGTATTGTATGGAACATGTCTGTGATCAAACTCAACTGCTTCCCAACCTGAAACGAGATCATGGCTGCGCTAGCGTTGTAACAGGGCGAAATATCTCCTTGTTACCGGTAGAAGCTTACAGTTCTATACTTTGAGAACATCTGTAGTATCCGCTGAGCTCTGTGTGACCTCATAGACACATTTATGCATCTCGCTATACTGTGCTGAAGTGATTTTAATTTGCGCCTGCTGATTTTATGCCCCCCCCCCCCCCCCCCCCCCCCGCCTAAATATTCCCTTGATTTTGCACCCCTGATTGAGCTGTTGAAGCCGCACATTACGAAAAGAGCATTATCATTATTTTTATCAACCTGCCGACATTTTTACAATGATTCTTCAACTCGGATGCCATGGCTAGGCCATGCTCCCTGGCAATGAAACAAACGTGTGATGTGAACGTTTCCAGCAATCACTGCTGCTATGCCATTGCATGGGACTGGGTCAGTGGGTGTTTTAGTTCTGTGTCCGAACTGCCTGCTTGCTGGCTATACTTCCATACGTGTGTACCTAGAAACAATCGTTCGACAGTTTCGCAGCACTGGGGATGCATCACACCGACGAAGGCATGTGGCATGAAACCTGCGAGGCATTTGTTTCTTTGGTACTCCTCGCTATTTCACTTACGACCTTCACCGAGTACTGTATATGTATCTTGGAACTCAGGGGGTACGGGGGCGCGGGGGGGGGGGGGGGGGGGGGAAACGAATTTCTGGTGTTAGTACAGTACTTGTAATCAGATTCAATGGTGGTTTGGTTACACCTCTGAAACGGGCATCTGCACCCCTTCAGAATTGGCTAGACATGCACACTTATTACCTTCCAGCGGTCGACCTATGTATATACAGCAAGGGGGCCGGCTGTGGGTCTTATCGATTCAGGGCTGTAACAGCGAGATTTCAGATGGTCCTGCCAAATGGTTATTTGAACGGAAATGAACGTTATAGACGAAAACCGGAGTGGCACGAATTAGGCCGGTCAACTTTTCGAAATAAGGTCCGACCGTTGGCCTGATCGGACGCCATGGCCTTAAAATTCGTCAGTACCTGACGGTGAACAGCTGTTGTTCACCACCACCACCACTTCACAGACACACACACCTGACCTTTGACGCCCACCGCCGGAGGCGATGATAGCAATGCTACGGCAGAATCCATAGCAACTTGTGCTGGGATTGCACCATTCAACAGCTTGCAAGGCTGAAGAATTGACCGTCACTATTCAGCCTGGTCTACACCATACAGCTATTTTGAAGTGACTTTCTCTGGCCAGTGAATCCCTATTTTTGGTCTTTTCAATTTTTTTCCCGCACACACATCACACCACATACTCCGGCATGCACTGGCTGTTGGTAACCACCCAGGAGAATGAAAGGAAAATCAGGAAGAGTCTGAGAAGAGAAGAAAGACGTGTGTGACCATAATCGTCGGGAATCTCACACACACACACACACACACACACACACACACACACACACACCACCACCACCACCACCACCACCACACATACACACGCGCACGCACACACACACACATACCACCACCATCACACACACACACACACAAAAATTATTCAATATCACGCACGGGACATGAAAAGTGGTTTTCAGGCTAGGGTGTGGAGAGAGAGAGAGAGAGAGAGAGAGAGAGAGAGAGAGAGAGAGAGAGAGAGAGAGAGAGAGACCATAATTATTATAATGTCTGCATCCTTTCCAAATAAATACAAAGCAAGTCGATGAGAAACTAGCTGCTGCACCCCTGGGGACTTGCCATAAATAGGATAGAAATAAATAGACGGGCTAGGTAAATTCAGCAAGAGACCAGCTCGGTGGTAAAACATACTAGTGCTAATGTCCAAACTCCCACGGGCCATAGGGGCCGCAGGCATTGTTTAGCCAATCGCTCATTTTCAGTATTAAAAAAAACACACACAGGGTCATTGTGATGGCCGTTTATAACTCGCCCGCGAGTTCCTGTACATCGATACAGTACAAGCAGCACGCAATGCCGCGCAGACTAGAGAAGTCCCCGTCTTAGAAAGAATCAAGTGGCGCTAGAGGCGATAATTACAAGCGGACGCAACAATCAACTCAGCACTCGTTCCGGGTTGAGCACGTATGCGAGCAGTGTAGTCATATTATTGTCATGATGCGAGAGCTTGGACAATTCGCTTGTCCATGCAAGAAGGCAGCAATACCTGTTCATTCTCGCGAAGTAAAATAAAAATATACCGACCATATCCGCATCTGTGCCTGCAGCTGGAATCCACCGGTCGGGGGCACCTCACGTGCATTGCACGGCTGGTTGCAAGGCGGTCTGAGCGCGTGAACCTCTGCTGGAGGACAACTCGATGGAGTCTTTTTATCAACAAGGTGTCGATTAACATAGATGGATAACCAGGCGAACCACTGCCTACGTTGAAGCAGAATGACAAAATTACCGGAACGACGTATGACATAGTGGACCGATGAATGGCATCATGGATCAGTTTCCGGACTTTTTTTTATGCCATGAGACATACAATACCAGACTCCGGCCGGACATGTTTTGGCCACGTTATTGCATACAGTTACGATCAGGGAGTAGTAATATACCGGTATTTTACTACTCCCTGGCTACGACGGTGTGGATGTGGGTGAGTTAGAACACTAACTCATAACTTCGGCTCAATACCGGGTGCGGGGAAGACGTAATCGGAAGACGGGGCACGCTTGGCGTCGGGCGTGGAGTCCTCTTCTTTCGGCTTCGAACGCGGCATCAGAAACAGCGCGGTTGATGTCGAGCACAGCTGAGAATGCTCGGCGTTCGTCAGGCTGAACGTGAGGAACAGCTTTCGGCCGTCCTCCTTGTCCAGAGCCGCCTCCATGATGTGCGGCACGCCGAGCTGCACCAGGTTCTTGTAGTTGACGTTCAGGTTGGCGGTGACGGCCTTCCGTCCCGTGTGCCACACCACACTGCCCATGCACGCGTCCGCAATGGTCGCCGTGGCGCCGCCATGGGCGCAACTCGGCGGGCCCTGCGCGTAGGGGCCGAACTCGACGACGCCGCGCAGCTTCTCCTCGCGTTGGTTGATCCAGAATGCGTAGTTGAAGAAGCGGCCCGTCTGCTCGCGATCGCACCGCGTCAGCAAACGGGGCTCGTCCAACGACTGCGCCATGTCCACCAAATATGGGCGTTTCTGCCAACCATTCTCAGTAGTGAGTTCTGTGCACAGTTGATCATACACACGGCGAGCTTCTGGCGACCAGGCGTCCGTTGGAATGCTCAGATCAAGCTGTTCAGGCTCTGATGATAGCTCTGAGCTGTGTTGCGCTGTTCCGTGCGCGGACAACTGGACTGTACTACTACTACTGCCTACTACCTGCATACTGGCCATTCTCTGAATGAAATTCAAATTTCTTTGACGAGGTGAGAAGAGGTTCTTTGCATGAACCGCGGCTGCCAAACGACGAGTGAATGTATTGCTTGGGCCTCCAATCCGATTCTGACAAAGGGAAATCTGCGCTAGTTTATATCGAAGAAGACAAGTGTGATTGCGACACGAATTCATTCTAGAAGTTGAAGTAGAACACTTGACTGGTTCAGACTTTCAGTGGTTGACCTTTCACCATGCATGGCTTCTCTGATCTGCTTCATTGATTTAAAAAAATCGTGGTATGACGTCAGACACATCTCTGTACGCGATATACACTACATGTACGCGGGGATCTCCCCGTTTTTTTGCACAGTTTGCGAGGTTTTTATCATTTTTTGTTTGGATTTTTTGTTTCTGTTTTGACATGACGTTTCTTTTGAAAAGGAATATCGAATGGTGAAAATCTCACACACTCATCACCAGATCACACCACACCTTGGCTTTGGCTTTGCCTTGGATCTTTCAAGCCCATTTCTTGTTTCGTGTTCAGCTCATAATTTGTTTCCCAACGAAGGTTGGAGCTGGTCTCCCCCTGGCCTGTCTGTTCCGTTCCATGTAGCTGGTGCATGACATAGTACAATTACTACATGACATGTTTTGTTATGGTCGACTAGCTAGATAGGGTCTTGCGAATTCGTAACTGATCTTGTGTTCAAGATGAGGTTTGGCGAGCAGCTTCAGATGCACGTCACTCCGGAATGGAGGAAACAGTATATCAATTATACGGTGAGTGTGCCCATGCGTTTCGCTTTCTTGAGCCAAACTATTCTATTCAGCATAATTCGGACACTGGATATTCGGAGAGAGTATCCGAATTTATCCTCCTAATGGCACGAGCATTCTCGAAATGAGTTTGAGAAAAAGAACTCACAAAACCGTTAACTCTTACACAACTGAGAACAAAAGGGAGGGAAGCCAGTACTTGTTTGGACCATTTTGTGAATGTGAGCTGCACACTCATTCGTTCCCCTTGTTCTTTGTCCATGTATTCTCTGACGTTTCACTAATTAAAGAATTATGGTGGACTCTAAAACATATTATTTTGTGCGCATCATGGCAAGGAAAGTGCTTCACATCTCCCTGGCTATTGTCTGCTGGGAGACGACAGTTGTTGTGTTTTACATCCCAGTATCCCAGTCATACATATGCTGTCCATCATCAAAATGATATCCCCCACTACGCTATGTAAACTCGCAAATTTATTACACTCAATCTGTGGACAACTACGAATACACATGTACCCGTCATCAGTTCATGCCATACAAGTGTACGCCAGCTGTCGTAGTCTAGGTCTAGTAAACTCTGTGTGTGTGTGTGTCTGTGTGTGTTTGTGTGTGTGTGTGTGTGTGTGTGTGTGTGTGTGTGTGTGTGTGTGTGTGTGTGTGTGTGTGTGTGTGTGTGTGTGTCGTGCATGTAATGCCATGAACGGATCTAGTTCTGGTACGAATTCCGGGCTGTACCGATTCTGATAGTTTATCTGCCGGCTATGTTTAAAAAAGCACTTGATGCATGCACTTGATGCATGCGCCTTGATCCTTGAAGGGCGGTGGCGTTCCTACGGATGCGGAAAGCCCGGCTTCCAGCCGATTCTCACACGTGAATTTTTTAAAATCTTTTTGTTGATGCATGTGCTAAACTTGTAGCTGCAATAGCTACGCTGTTTTCTGAGTCAGGGCTGGTAGAAGCTAGTGGAGTGCACAGTTTGCAGCTGTTTCATCACATCGCACGCCCCAGCGCAGAATCTCGTGTGCTTATGCGAGTAGAATCGAGACTTCATTTTTGCTCTAAGTACGTGTATGGATGTATAGCGGACCATAAAAATGCACATTGCCCTTGTATGAGATAGGCCAGTCTTCCTTCACGTCCATGTGTGCTGTAACCGTTTGCGTGAGCATCGCGCAGCGAAATTTCTTTTTTTGGTCTCAGTGACTCGCCATTGCGGCAGCTCGCACCGTTTCACAAGGTCGTTATACCGTATCCGTTATTTATTGTTGCGCATTCCTGCTTGTCGTACAAAAGTTGAAAAACGCACGCGGGTTCCTGCTATCACCTTAGTGATACGGTGACTGATTTGGCACTGGCTCTGCGGTATGACAGGTTTTCTATGATTTAGGCCACACTTTGTTTTTTTCTATGTTTCTCGTCGGCAAATTTTAACAAAAGGTATGCGGGCGGGCGGAAAAAAACACAAAAGCCAAGAAAAAAACAAGAACAATTTCTACTGAAAACTGTATACATTTTGTATGTGTGATTCATACAAGACACTGCGTACAGAACATGTATTGTATTATGTCATTGTACAGTCATGTAGACACTACATGTAGTCCCATAGTACATGATTCCACTACATTATCACATCAGACCCACGAATATCAGGCAAACTGCGACATAGTCATTCAGAGTATAAAGTTTGATTACGAGATGGCGAAGAGAACATACAGGTATCTGTTATCGCATTAACAAACGCTTTCCCACTCGTCATTTTTGGTTTGTTACTTCAACGTTCTTGTGTCCGCTTATCAAACTCTTGTCTCCACGCTGCTCATCTTTTCCTCGCCATGCGTCTATTGCTTGGATTTTCTGCCCAAGACATCGTTCGACGCCAGTTGCCACGGAACTCGCCCGACTTCCTGGGACCCGCAAGGCTCAGGCAATGAACGACTGAAAGCTTCGCCGCCTTCATCACAGAGAACGGACGGGGAGCGCTCCTTTGCTGCTGTGGTGCAAACGTTTACGATTTTGATTGACGCATCTAGCTGCTGCAGCATGTGCAGCGTACATACACGTACATGTACAAGTGTGAACTTTTTTTTTCTTCCGAAATTTCTGAAAACCTACGCGGGCGGTGACCCGAAACATAGAAAAAACAAAGTGTGGCCTTATAAACAAAAGTGTGCAACTCCGTGTCAATGGTGCAAAAAACGACGCCCACTGCAAAGTCATTCGTCATAGGTCAATGACCAGAGGGACTTTGCCGCGGGAGTCGTTTTTTTGCAGCATAGATACGGAGTTGCACACTCTGGTTTATGTTTATGTACTCGTACTCTTAGGGTGCGTTCTTATATTCTCTAGCTTCTAGAAGAAGAAGAAAAGAGAAGTCGAAGAAACTGGGATTACTCAAGAACGGGTCTCGAAGAATTCGGAGATATTTTGCACATGTCAAGCAAAATGAAGCGTCAAAGGGGCCGCGATCTTGAGTGATGAATGTATGTGCGTATGCGAAAAGGGAAAATTCCGAAATGCGTACAC